CGGGGAGAGCCAGACCCACCCACGCATCCTTTTGAGATTGCCCTTTCCTTCCAGGCCTGCTGTAGTGAGCATATCTGGAAAGGAGTCCAAGGAGGATGGCAGGAGAGAGGCCCTAGGGAGTGGAAAGGTGCTCTTGGTTGTGATGGCTGTGGGCACTACTTTTTTTTTTTTTTTCAAAGGAAGCTATACTTTATTGTGTAGGTATGCAGCAGTATGCGTGTGCCTGCACATGGTTTTTTTACAGTGGACATGCAGTCTCCTGGTGGTGGGTGTATGTGATGGACCCTCTGGATCACTGCTGTCGGGTTCAACAGTTGTCTAGCTGCCCTGGACCTCATCACCTGGAAAGGCACCCACCTTCATGCGTGGGGAATTATTTGGTCATGGTGTCCAAGCAAAATGAGAAATTGGACCCTCTGCCAGCGCCTTGGACAGGCACAGTCATTGTACAAGTAATAACTGGACCAGTGCTGTGCCATTAGATGCTGTTTTTTGTCACTATTAACAAGAGGCAGCTAAGAGTCAAGTCCATTGCCCAAGTCAGGATCCTGTTTTATAGGATGTATTTAGAAAGGTTGATGGTAATAGACGGTGGCTAGAAAATATCTCTGGGATATTAAATAATAAAAGTAGCATAAGAACGCAATTCTTCCTTTTTAAGCAAAACAGCAATGGTCATGAAAGAGGCAGGTAATACTGCTCTCAGGTTGTGTGGGAGTAATACTAGCGTAGTGCAGCTGAACAAAGAAGGGAAATGCAGCATAGCGTTTCTCCAGGTTGTGCTTGCATTTGTGGATGATGTTTCTTGCATTTTGGATCGATGCGGTCGGATGACTGGGCCCTCATTACTGTGAAGCAGAATCTGCCTTATGCAATAAAATGCAGGCACCTCAGGGTGTCACTAGAGATTGTGCATTCTGAGGCTGCAATGGCAGGAGGAAATAGGAGAATGATGAGACAAGTGCGATGCTCTCAGAGACTCAGTAGTAGCTCTTTATGTATATGTATGTGTGAGTTTGTGTGTATGTGTATATTTCTGAAGAAAAAAACCCTTAAACTTCAAGCTCATGTAAAATTAGAGCTCCCTTTTCAACACCTTAGGGCTCCTTTCCCTGGGACGTTAGCTGGATATTGGTCAGCATGGACCACTTTGCTTGACCACCACACAATGCTCAGCTTTGCACGTGATGCCAGGGTGCTCAGATTAGGAGTGTTGTTGAAGGTTGTAGGTTTGCTTCCCTAACACATACAGTGGGTACATCTACTTGGGTATATCTGCTTTCATCTCTCCTAGAAAGTGTCAGAAGACAGAAAAGGTGTCATCTGGTGTGGAAAAACCAGCAGTGCTGTGGTTGGCTTTTGTTTGTTTTGTTTTGTTTTTGAGAGGATCTGCAGGCTTCATTCAGGGTTTCTGTGGTATGAACATCAGAAATTATGTAGAAGGCAGTTCTTAAAATATCTGGGGTAGATGTCCTTCTGTACGCTGAGTATCTGCTCAGATTTTCAAGGTATGAGGCATTGCGAGAGGGATGGTATTGCTTTTAATATTTGCAGGTTTAGGTTTCCTGTCCCACTGAGCAGAGGACCCAACAGGAAGTTGGCGTCTCTTGGCAGAGATGGGTATGGAAAGTCAGTGTGCGTGAAGAGCAAAGTTTTTGAGAGTCTTAACAGTTTGGTCTAGTTGTTTATCTATTTTTAGAGTATGGGGCCACCAAGCTTGGCTGCTTGCATGTTTCAGGCCAATACGCTTTTGTACTAAGCCCAGTAACCAGGGGTTAATCAGATACAGATATTCTTGATTTGAAGACTTAGAGGTTTGTTCTCCCTGAGCACATTCTTTGGAAAATGGTTGTTCCAGTGGACCACCATCAGTGCTAATATTTTATGCCTCATTTCAGCTGGTTTCCAGCGATGAGCCTTATTCTCCTCTTCTCTGCCAAATTAAGGAAAGACATTATTTTCTCCCCATGAAGATGATAATATGCTGCAATTGAAGCATCTCTCAGTCTTTCTTTTGACATGGTAAATGAATTGAACTTGTTTTGGTCTCATAAGGTCAAAAAGTATCTTTTTCCACGTTCGAACCACTTCTGTGCCTCTTTTTTGCACCCTCTCCAGCTTTTCTAATTTCTTTTTAAAAATGGAGGTACTCAGTCCATATGAAGTACGCCAGGACTGATTTCACCACTGTTTCATATAGAGAGAAAATTTACCTCCTTATTCCATCTTGGAGCTCTCGGGTACATTTATTTGAGAATTACGGTAGCTCTTTAAGTCAGAACACGTCTCCATGGGGTTGCAGCATGACCTGCCTGTCAGGATTACAGATTTGCACCCTGTTTGTGGGTACACTTTGTGTTCTCAGACACATTTGACTGTACCAGAACTGCTTGGCTTGTGCAGGCCCGGTTTACAGAGTAATTGGGACCAATTGGCTTTGGTCTCCTTGTTGCAACCATTACTCTTTACCCTTTTCCCCCTTGGGTCGCCCATAAATTTTAGCAGCAACAATCATAAAATTTAATTCCAGAGCATTAATAAAACTGCCCCAAATCAATCACTTCAGAAGCCCTATGGAAATAACCTCTGTCAGTAGCGATACGCATTGAAGACGGCATTTCTCCTTACAACACATGGCTCGTTGATCTCTTCATGCTGTGTACTGCTAATTTGTATTATGTCAGAACGTGACATGACGCAAAGCCACATGCCTTCAGAAGGTCTCTTACATTCTTACCAAACTTATAATCTCCTCAGAAAGTTATATCCTCAGCCTCACTGCTAGTTGTATGAGCTTTTAATTCCAGATCACTTGGCGCCTGTGTTGATGTTACGTTGGTTTGTCCAGGACTGGCAAGTACAGCTTGCTGTACCGTCATTTACCCTTCGTTTTAGGTACAAAGCAAGGCTTTTACTGGCTGCTTTTACCTTTCTACTTATCAGGGAGAATTTTACTGGGCCCATCAAGTATTGGGTCAGTGATTTAACTTGTTCTGATCTTCCTCCCTGTTCCTCACTGAGGGAAGGATTCACCCCTTCTGGCTTCAGCCACTTTGATCAGTGCTTTACATTTCACGTTTTCCAGGTTTGATTGATTGCAATTGATCCTACCCTCTTCTGATTGCTGAATATTTTGTACTTTTACTTCTGACTACTGCCTTTCCTTTGGCCGTAGAACGGGCTTTTAAGCACATTGACGTCTTCTGTGATTGATAGACCTTTTGGACATCCAATAACATTACCATAAAAAACTTCCAATTTTCAACCACATTTTCTCTGCCTTAATTCATCTTTCTCGCTTGTAAAAGCCTGGTATGGTTTTGGGAGCATGGGAGGCAGTATGTGTGAGGAGGAAGAGAATGAGTGGGGAGGCAGGTCAAGGATAATTCTTTCTGTTTGGGGGCTATTAATTGTACGTTTCATTCTATAATGAGAATGAAAGGAAGAAATAATAAAATATCTGGCAGTGCAACGTGACTGACCCATTTTGAAATAGCAACCACATGCCCGTGTAGGAGGTTGTGCAGTAATTATTGCAGAAGATTGTCCTCTTCATTCATCTGCTCCTCTCATCTCCATCTTCACAGGCTCACCCGTGGAATGGTTTTTCTTTGAGTTACAGCTTCTTGATTTGTCTACTATCTTCACAAGCAGTATTAGAAACCATTTCAGGAGTTAGTTTTCTAACCCTTTAATTTGCACTTTGTTCTACCTCTCCATGATATTCCAAGCAATGATTTCCAAGCAGTTCTTTGCCTTTCACTAGTCCCCGGTGTAATGGTCTAATAACTCTCGTCAGTGAGTCCAGCTTTTTTGATTTATTTAACCTAATTTGGTCTATTAGTTCTGCTTATACTTTTTCAGACACCGTCAGCTGTTCCCAGTGTTTGCATGACTCTAAATAATCACAGATTCTTCATAAAGTCTATTTCTATGTAGTCTGAGCTATTGTTACATGTTTAGTTCTTTTGATTTCTATACAGACTGAACCAGCGATTGTTTATTTTTGCATTGCATATCAAAATTCATTAATAGCCAATCCTAAAAGCAGGGTGCCCGTACTGGATGGAGGGATGGTACATTTGGAAAAGGAGCTACATTCTGACCTATTACATGGTGCTTATCTGTCATGCTTAAAATCCCTCTGTCTTTTGCCACAGTCTCACTTTTCTTAACAGATTGAATTTGCTAATGTTATCTTGAAACTTTGGAGTGTCTGTTTTTCTTCCTTCTGCTAAGGGCTTTTGAATACTTACTTATTTAGATTATTTTCTTCCATGGATTTCTTAGCGTTCTGTTTCTGAGATGAAAACACATGTTATTTTCCTTAATCTGCTTCTAAATTCTCTGGACCCTTGCTTTCCTCCCCTCATCTTTTCCTGCCCATCGCACTTTCTCTGTCATCTCTGACATTTTTGTCTGTCCATAACTTAATAGGCTCCCTAAATATCGTAATCATTCTGCTTATGATCTCCTTTTGATCTTCGCTGTATATGTTGAATAAGGCCATGTGAATACCATAGGATGAGAGTTAGGTTGCTTTTATGGGTTAAAAGAGAGAATGCAGTAGTAGACTAACCAATGGAGGAGTGCACAAGGGAGGAGATGGCTCAAAATTAGAAATATCAGAAACATACATTGTTCCCTCTGCCTGTATGGGCAGATATGGCACAATATGTGATGTCAGGACTGCTGGAGCTGTGATCCTAGACCTGATAGGAACCATGTGAAATTCTGTGTTCTGTTTAATGATTCAGTCTGTTTAGGACTGTTACTGTTGTTTATGATGATTAAGGTTATTTTCATTACTAGCAAATAGTTTTATTACGTTTGTCTGGTTAAATTTTAATTACTTGCCATATATGACAGACACGCGTACCACAACACTCATTTTAAATAAATTGCATTTAGTGAAAGTACCTTTAATTAGGTCCTAGTGATTAAAAAGTGAGAGCTTGAAAAGAAGAATTCATGTTTTCTCCTCTTTTCCCCCCATTCAGGGAGTGCTTGAAGAGGAGCCCGAGGAGCCCGAAGGCAGAGGGCTCTGATTCTGTGACATCTCAGTCCTCACCCAGTGAAGAAGCTGGAATGATGACTGAGGTGAAAGTGAAAACAGAGGTACCAGATGACTATATTGAAGAGGTGATCTGGCAGGATGACACCAAAGATTCCAAGAAGAGCATAAAGGATGGGCCGGGAGATGTGCCAGCAGAGATCTGTGTGGTCATAGGTGGGGTCCGCAACCAGCAGACACTCGGTAAGCTATGGGCTAACATGCCCCATCAGTTGGTTCCTGTGTCCTTGGTGCGGGGAGAGGAACGGACCTCCGGAAAGCCCATTCCTGAAAACTCATCTCTACCTGATGGACCTGAGCTGAGTTTCACATCAATCTCTGGGTCCTGGCTCAGGATTGTTGACCATAAGTAGATAACAATACCATAAGTATTGTTATCTACTTGCATCTGGTCTGAAGACTCAACCAAGTTTAGGATAAATTTGGGGGAAAGACTCTTAGCTTCTTTTGACATATTAAATCACTTGTCCGTTGGTTATATGCAAAATTCATGGCAAACCGAGGGCTGAGCATAGATTATGAGAAAATCTGGAGGAAGGCTTAAGAAGTTGAAATATTTTGAGGAAAGTTGGTACTTTCTGCGAATAATTAGATTTAGCTTAAAAACAGTTTTTATGGGTTGCTGTTTGTTTGTTTGTTTTTCTGATAACTAGTAACTTTGTGGGAAAAATTGAGAGTTTTGGCTGGCTGTGGTATGCCACTTCCAAAATGGTCTTTCCTATCCCCACCCTACCTCCAGCTGTGATGAGAAGAACGAGGATTTTTCTCTCTGAACATGGAACTGTTCTCTCCTCTGAGTCTTGCTCCATGCCCAAGGGAAAGGGCTTTCTGCAGGATCGTGGAAGAGGCACCGTTCTTGTTAACAGTGGCTCCTCTGTTGGCTCTAAGATGGAGCAGGTCCCAACGGCAGTGCAGTGGGTTTGAGAGCCAAAGGCAGTTGCCAATATTAAAGAAGAGGAAGGTGTTGGACCATGTTTTCTTTATGGTATTAGGAAGGAAACCAATTTGAACTGCCCAGGATTGTTGTAGGGATTGCTTTGGCTTGAGTAGGGGAGAGGAAAGAGGGGGATACCATTTGGATGGATGTTCAGTTTTTCCCCTGGTTTTTGCTTGATTATTGTCCACGCTGTTGGAAAGAAACCCTGGAGCTTGTCATTAGGTGTGGGACTGTTCTGGGAGCGTCGTTGTCCTGCCTCTCCTCCCTTTCCCAGCTAGGATAGCCACTAAGAAAGGCAATTCTCCATTCAGGGTGGGAAATGGCTGCTGTTTATGCAGGGTAAAAATGTTTAGGGAAAGCCTAATAAATCCATAACTTGTTCCAACTTAATATAATTTGGGAGGAAATACTTCTGAGTATTTTCAGGGCCAGTTGAAGGGACACAGCGCTTTTGTGCCTCCACAGCACTTGAGCGGATGGTGACTGCATGGCAGTGCAGGCAACCTTTGAAAGGTGTCCCTAGACCACCAGGAGGGATGAGTGGAGAGATAGCTGTTGACTGGAGGCAGTAGGGAGCTTCTGCTTCAGCTGTGGTCACTAGCCTTTGCTGAAAGCAGCTGCAGAGCCGACATCTGTCGCAGAAGACCCCCTTCTCCCCATGGCTGCTGGCTGTGCAGCGGTGGCTAGTCCACAAATGATGTCCCTAGAGAATGGTGGTTTCTAGATAAAGTTGACTGTATTGTTGCGCAAAGTGGGAAACAGGCAACAGGCAGCCTTTTTGCTGTTGGCTAACTTGGAAGTACACCAAAATGTCATACCTTCTAAAGGGATGGCACTGGGAACAGGCTGGGCGTGAGCGGGGAAGAGGTTCAACATACAGGCACTGTGGCTGGGGGGGGAGAGGGGCATGGAGTTATTTGCTCGTTAATAAGTGCTTGTTGGAAGCAGTAAAAGTAAACTGGAGAACTTCTAGCCGGAAGTGCATCTTCAAATGAAATGTGCATCATATTTGTTATTTTATAGCCTTGTGCTGAGTTTCTTTAAAGTCAGCTTGATCCTGAGGGGATTGGCAGTTAGCAGCTGATTCCTTTGTGAAAAGAGTCCTTTAAGTGCCCCTATTCATCCAGCCACCCATATAATTCTTGTTTGTTGGGGAGGTGGCTCTGAATAACTTTTCTGCTTGGCCACCAAATACTGTGTTCTGTGTGGACGGTCCGTAGTGCCCAGATATCAGTTCTTTGTGGTTTCTTGAACTGGCTCCCAGTCAATTCTTCTGGTCCCCTCTCTCCACAGAAACCACAAACAGGCAGTATTTTCATAGTTGCAGACATCTGTGTAACTTCCAATAGAAATGTCCCATGCCTGCTGCTGCTTCCCTGGCAATTTCTGCCACTGCTCTTAAGCAGCCCAAGATTGCTAACAGCTGAAGACCCTGCTACTTCCTACCTCTGGAGCAAAAATGTCATGTTGTCTGCTGCTGCTCACTGGTGTTTCCGAATTTTCTTCCTGAAGCCTTTGTTGTGAAGTGATCCGGTGGCCCTGTGTCTAAATCACTTCAGCAGTGACGAAAGGCAGGGCTTTGGTAGGATTTCATTCCCCTTCGTCAGGGAAGTTGAGATTTGAGGTGCTGAAAATGGTTATTTTATATAGTACTTCGCGGTGTAGGATGAAGTAGTGAATGAGAAGGAAACGAATCCATCTCCTCCGTATGTAAATGCAAGCCCCCTAGATGTCACCTTTCATAATGAGGTGGGAGATTGCCGGTTATATGGGGGGGGGAGGGTTGTCTAAGCGGGAGCCACAGTGTTAAAGGCTTCAAAGCACACATGGCTCCAAGTGACAAACAACTTTCCTGAGGGACTGAGCTTCAGGACTTGCCTGAAATATGCCTAAGAAGGTTTGTGCCTCTTTTTGGAGTCTCACTTCTCCTGCAGGAGCATTCTATGTTTATATTTTTAACTGTTACTTTAAGCAAAGTAAGAGATTCCCAACTTAGTTACTGTCACTCACATTAGTGTTTTCATCAAATTAGGCCTGGTATAAGCTGCCTCCTATTTGGTTACAGGCTCCTCTGTCTTTTCTTGAACTTTGGACTACTCCAAACTCTGTTTCCACTCTGTTTGGAGCAGCCCAAAGCCCACAATTGATCAAAGTGGATGCAGCAAAGTGGGATGTGCAGTGGCAGCCGTTGCAGTCCCCTAGCTTGAAGAGCCAGTGCTGATGCGTTTGTGGTTTTGGACCACTTCCTTTTTGTCTGCTTTTCCACCGAAGTCTTGCAAGCCCCACAGGGGTCCCCCTTTGGGCATTCCAAGCAAAGAAAGCCAGCAGAGCAGTTGGCTCTAACTTTGGGTCTGGTCAGCAGCTGACTGATAACTGACGCTATGGATCCTGTATTCTTCCCTGTACGCAGACCAGCCTAAGTGATACTGCCATGTCTTCACATCTCAGTTTGTACGTGTAATGCACAGCCCAGAGATGCAGAGTTTCCCTTTTGTTTTTTCTTGACAGCTTCATGTGCTGGCCTTGGGCCAGGGTCATTTGAAGAGTTCCAGCACATTAACATTTCTCAGGGCAGAGGTGTCAGGGCAAAAAGGCAGAGTAGTCCACCATGAAGCTATCTTTCAGAAAGGAAAGGAAAAAGAAAATGGTATTTTTGTGTCATAGATAAGAGAACAGAGGAGGAGACTACTTGCCTAATGAGAATCCTCTTGTAGCGTTGAGAATACCTTCAGATCAGTATTTGTGTTTTGGAGAACAAGAGATATCTGAGAGTTGATCAGGAGGAATTTTATACAAGTCTATTTAAACTCTCAGTCCAGTCTGTGATTTACTGGGAGAAATGCTTTGGAGAGGGTTTTTCAAGTAATGCATTAAATCAGAAATGTTACTGAGACAAAGTGAAGAGTGAATCCTACTGCTTTGAGACTATCAATCTAGCTAGTACATACTTGATTCATGTCACGATGCTGATGTCTCAGTTACTGAGCTGCTTGGCACACTTAATTCACAAGCGTTTTGGATTCTCCCTAGTTATACTAAATAAAATAGCGCTGCAGAAGCCTTAAGACACTTTGTGTGGCCTCTGACATCTGGTTACCAAGCCACGGGGACAGATGGGTCTTGGTTGTTTTTAATAGGTTTCAGCCATCATTATCCTTTGGAAATGCATCCACTTTAAGGGCTCTTTTCTGATTTTTTTTTTGCACAATTTAGATGGAAAAGCAGTGGAACGTGGCTCTCCAGTTGGATATACACGAAATCGATATTCAGGGACCTGGATTTTTGACCATGCATTGAGATACACGTCCGGTATGTGATGGAAGGGTGTGAAAGTCTAACCAGGGATCGGAGAGCAAGGGAAAACTCTGGACGCAACGGGTGTGTTGCACAAATTCCAACGGCAAGGCTCAGTAAAAGCCTGGCAAAACTAAATGCACCAACTAACCAAAACCATCCCCCATCTCCCCTCTTACTACAAACAGCTTTAACCTGCATGACACATCCTGATGTGGACAAAGTCCAAAATAAACCATGGCTACAGTGGCAGTGTCCAAAGCAACACAGACGTGTTCTTTTTAAGGCCTTAACCAAGGGATTTCTTTTTTTCACTTCATCTTTTCTCCTCTTAAATAACACGTTTTGGGGGCAAGTTATCCCTCCTTTCTCTAATGCTAGGATCTGTGTCTCTTCCCCTTAATCCCATAGTGTGCTGAGTGCACCGTTTTTGTCGTGGAGTTGTCTCTCGGTGTCTGGAGGACTCTGGAGCCGTAATGCGCTTCCCTGAAAACCTCCACAAACTAGACTGTCTACGTGGTGTAGTGCTCTACTGTTGGTGCGCAGGTGCTGGGTAGAGGTGCCCCCCTCAAAGAATGTGCCCCCAGGTTAGACTTGAGACCTAGGTGCTGAGGGAGAGCTATACAAAGGGCTGGCCATGGGATGGTCTGGTCCTCAGCCTGCCATCGGTTCCTGCCCTTACTGCCCAGGCAGAGCCCATTGTGTGGGGTGCCGCAGTGCCAGTCCAGGTTCATAGTCGAGTGGGAAGGCACTCCACAGCCACTCGTACAGGTTATGTTTTCCTTGAAGAACTTCTACACAACAAAATGCATTCGTGTGTTACAGATCATCTCCGGAGGAAGAATAATAAGGGGAATATAAGAAAGAAACATGAAAAAAAAAATCAGACTAGAGCACTTCGTTGGTTTTTAGTTGTTTTCTCAGTGGTCTGTGTGTGTGCAGAGCTGTTGGGAAGTATGGCAGTCACTTTTTTGCTGTTGATACAGCTGAACATGGTAACAGCAGATGCACGAGATAACTGGTTGGTAGGACCTAAGTGTTTGTGAGCGTGCTTGTCTTCTGGCTGTACTGGCTTTTGGACTCCAGTTGGAACAGTTTTCTGAAAAGAGTTTTGGAGGTTAGTGATGAATATAATCAATGCTTGAGCGTAGTAAATGAGGTCTGGCAGATACTGTTGACCTGCTGTTGTCTAGAATTTCGCTTAGGAAAAACCTGTATGGAATGACCATGGATGGTGATTGTCCCACATATGCATATTTATATACATAAAATACAGCGAGTTATGATAATTAAAAGGCTGTGGAGCAAATCAAGACATAGTCAACTGACTATAATAGCGTTGTTTTGGAGTATTTTTTGGATGTGTGCTCTTGTGTATTGTGCTGTGGCGAATTATACCATAGTCTATTTCATCGTCAGTGACAAAGTAGTTGCCCAAGCTCAGAAGAGTCCCAAGTGGTGCTGATGATGGATAGGGAATTCAGTACTGCTCTGAGCTGGAGGGAGGGTTATTTTCTTCCTAAGCTGTAAGCAAGAAGACATGGAAAGGGGAAAAAAAGAAAGGAGTATAGCCTATTCAAAAAGTGTGGTTGATTTTGTTCCTGGAAAGACCTCACTCTTGAGTAGCACTGGGTAAGTATTGCTATAAAATGATATTTGGGATTTATATGGATGTGTGTGAATGCTTTGTTTCAGGTTGTGACTTGTCCCTGAGTTTTATTGTTTTGCATGATCAATAAAAGATTGTTTCAAGGTCGCATGCAGAAGTGTTCGTGGAAATCAAATGCCACATTCACACAGAATAATATTCAGACCTTTGTTCTCCCACTTTCTCCTCCAGTAAGTGCTGCTCTTACCCTACTTAGAAAGCTATCATAGAATCACAGTTACTTACCTGCTGATAGACAGCCACTAAATGCAATACATTTTGCAGGTGAGAACTTGGATGGCCAATTTATAGCCAGTTCATGAAATTGGTGAGGGTGGGAGGAAGGTTGAGTAAACTTGAATATCAAATCTGAGGAAATTTCTGTCTGCCTGTCCAATAAACAGGCTAAATTCATCGCATAATTTCATCATTACAAATTATTCTCCCAGCTTTGTTTCTCTGGTTTCATTACAAATGACTGTTTGCAGATGTGTGTTTTCTGGAATTAGATAGGCAAATTGAGAGGAGAGACTACTGTGGTCATGTGATTTTACTTACAAAGGTCAAAAGTTCTATTTGTATCTATTTGGTTTCCTCTGTGTGGATATTTACCAAATCTCTGTGGGTTTCTTGAGAAATTTGTACATTGTGCATTTCTTGAGAAATTTTGAAAACTGCTTGCCTGAAGATAACATATTGCCTTCTTTTTTCACTCGAATCACTTTTTTCCCATATCTTAGAAACTTACTGAAAAGTAATTCAAGGTTATTTCTGTTCATAGGAAATATTAGTCATTATTATAAAATTATAAGTCTGGCTATTTTGAGAGTAAGCCTTTCATGTTAAGAAAGTTATAAAGATATACTGTAAATGTAAGTTCAGGGTAATATGCCAAGGAATCTTAAATTAGGCTGAAAAAAGCATTGAGTCTGGGATAGTGATTTCCTGCATTTATCTCCATGAACCTTCCAAAAATTACTTTGCTGCAAACTGCATTCTTTTGTCCCCAGTTTATGGATAAGTATGTGGTGAGGCTGTTTTTCCTGATCTAATATGGTGATGTATGCTTTTCTGTCTTGTTTTTCAGGGTCTTATGAGTGTGGAATATGTGGGAAGAAATACAAGTATTACAACTGTTTCCAGACCCATGTGCGAGCGCATAGAGGTATCTCTCTCCTGCTCAAACTTTGGGAATCCTGGGGTAACACTCAAGCTCAGGAAATATTTTTTGGGAAGGTCTTGAAGATTGCTCTGCTGCTGCTCTTTCCATCACTGTAATGTATCTTCCGGGCGGCCAGTTCTTAGGATAAACTTTGTGGCTCTCTAGCAATATTCCTTCTGAAGTCACTACCAAGTATTGCGTCCAATGCACTTCAGTACAATAGCGGTAATGCTTATTGCAGGGGCTCTTTGGCGGCATTGCTGCACGTTGGGAGAGTTGCAAATAAAAAAAGTCTCTCCCGGCAAATATAATTGTATGTCAGCAATCTAGTTACTGCAGCAGTGGTAGGCATCTGCCCATGGTGCCCCTCGCACTCCTCCCCATTTGGGTATTTTAATCCATCCCTGTTATGTCAGTGCGCGTGTGTGTGTGTGTGTGTGTGTGTGTGTGTGTGTGTGGGGAGGGGGTGACAGACCAAAGCAAATGGTTCAAACAAAACACAAGGATGTGAGTGCGTTCCTATGTATCCAGAGGGCCATTTTTCTTCCTAGGAAAAGATTATTCACGGGTAAGACCTGAAGTGCCAATGATTGTTACTAAATGCTTTTGGAGACCCATAATACGGCGTTGCTGAATTGCTTACCTTGCTTTATTTTGGCAGTGGTGTGCTGCCGTATTTTCAGGTTTAAAATCAAAATGATACTTGAAATCACTCCCGTACCTGTTCTTTCAGCTGAGGTCCCTTTCCAAATGTATTGTTTGTATGAAATTTCTCATGCTTTGTCAGAAGTGACTTTTATTTGAATTTTCTATAATACTAGCCAATTTAAATCACTTAATTGCAGAAATGGGGAAGTTTTGCCTGGCTGTTTTCTACAATTAGTATAATTTGTATAATTTGGAGAAATATGGATCTGAAATAACAAAGTTACAGGGACTTGAAACCAGCTCATGAGACTTCCAGTATTTTTATTTTCTTTCACCTGAGTTTGAAGTATGTGTGTCAGACTTGTAGAAGGATCTGCTTAAACTCCTCATTTGCAAATAGCATTATCAGCGCACACGTTCTGTAATGTAACGATTGGTTGGAATGTCTATAAGAGCCTAAGGGAATCTCCCAGTGAAAGCTTTGTAAAATCCACGAGCAAGACATAGTGAATGCTAATGCAGTAATAAGTTTAAACATTTAAACTCTCAGAAGTCAGCAAATGCACACCTGAAAAGTGAACTTGCATTCTTAAATTCACACAGTGCTGCACCAGTCTCATGATACGTCCTTTAGTGGTATGATTACGTATTTCTCAGGTGCTGTTTAGTATCATAGAGCTTCTTCTGTATCCTTAGATACATGCAGAATTGTTTTTTGATGTTTTGTTTTCCTTTCTAAATTCCAACAAAATTCCTAAAAGTCTTTTAAAAGTGCTACTACAGAGTAGCTGCACTCTGCAGTTGAAGCAAAAATCCATAAAATAGTAAGCAGCATTATTTGCTGACATACAGAAGGCTTTAGTATTGCATCACAGCATTGCAATAATTTCACAGTAATAATTGAAATATTTAGAATTGGGACAAGGATTGGTTTTTATTGTACTTCTCTCTACCAAGCCTTATGGGATCCTTATTTCAGTTGGAATTTGTCGGAGCTACTTTAACACGACTAATCAATTACGAGGTCACCTCCAAGTGGGTGATCTAATTTATCTTTATTTATATATTTATTTATCTTTTGATCATAAAATCAAACTATGTAGCAAATGGTCTGGATGAATTCCTGATACATCGATACACACGTCTACCATTGATATCAGTAGTTTTGTCATGAACTTAGTGGAGACATGACTCTACCTTTTGGCACCAGAGTGTTTTTAATGTGTAGGTAAAAAGGAAGGAAATTTTTAAAATTTTGAATGCGGAAATTTATTAGCAGTTTTCAGTTTAGTGGTGGAGAAGCACAATTTATATATGTGAAACTAAGAAATTTTTTTTTACCTTACTGTAAACTGATGAGTGTGGTAGTAATATTTAAAATGCATTTAAATTGCCTTGAGAATAAAAATCAAAATGAGATATATATTCCTCTACACTAATTAAGAAGAAACCAAAGTAAAAACTTGATGCAGTGCTGTAAATGTAATTCTCCCAGAAACAGAACGTGAGATACCAGAGTTCAGAAATGTACCTGTTTGCTCTTGAATGTGTATGTATTGTATAGTTAAAAAAAAAAAAAAACTATATAGGGGAAAGCTCTATATTATATTACCGTTAAGAATTATATACTGGCCTGTAGCGATAGCAACGCTGAAAATAGCATGACTGCAGCACTTGATTTGTTTTAAAATGTTTTTATTGCAGCACGTATCTAAGGTTTTATATAGAAGAAGCATCTGGTATTGCACCATCCTAACAAATATGAGATAAGTTTGTGGTTACACGTACACTGAGGATGTGATTCGTCACTTTGCATTTACTCTTTGTATCTTCAGTCCATGTCTTGGATAAATCCCTGACCCGTTGGCAAGCCAGCTCTCCTGGGTTTGCTTGTCCTTGAAGCACTGAAAATTGAGCTCCCTTGGCCTCTTGCGTGCATTTACCAGCTGCTAGCAACTCAGATCCTCAACCTTTTAGTCATTTCTTTTTGGCTGGGCCAGGAAGGAGCCGTAGCGGTGACAAGGCCTAGACTTTTTTTTTTTTTTTTTGTCTGCTGCTTTTTCTGAGCATCAGATGCTCTTTCCCCAAGGTCCGGGCCACCAGTTGGTCAAATTATGTCAACCTCTCCCTGAAGATTTGCCTGATCCTGGGTTAAACTCACAATTCTAACATTAGAGTAGCTGGGGCAAACTCAGGTGCCTTTTCTTCTTTTCAAGTTCTTTCTTCTGATGCTTTTTGGCCACTGTCTCAAGTCGAAATACCAACTTTTTGTTGCTTACTGAAAGACACCGGTTCTTCCCCTTCCCCTTGAGTAGTCATTTGTTATTTGCTTTGTTTTGTGGTGCCTTTGTCACTAGTGGGACTTGACCTAGCTGTGGGTTCATCCTGCAGAATGACGGAGCTGGTGGTCCTGAAGGTTCAGCCTTTGGGAGATAGGTCTAAACCTGATCATCAGAATTACTTTGGGGCAGGATAACTTAAAAAACCCACCCCTGCAGTCAGCCCCGCTGTCGTCATTCAGCAACGCAGGTTCTGTCCTGAAGATGGGAAGTGTAGGGGTCCCAAATTCTCCTCACTTTGAATTGGGTTATTTCTAAGCTGATTTTTTGTACAGCTCGGTTGCCAGTTTGGAGCTGTAGCTAGGAGAGTGCTCCCTTAGAGCTGGCTGCTCAGGGCTCGCGACTGGGAATTTTCTTACCTGCTCCCTTCTCATAGTTCATCCTTGCTCGTCAGTCACTTGTTTTGCCCTGTGCAAAACGTGCATTTCTTTTCATCCTCTGAGCTATTTAGTTCCACATTAAGAATCTTGCGCTGGTGACATCTCTAAAGAATAAAAATTGTGCTTTTCTTTAGAATGATCATTTTCAAGAGAAATTTCCTAGTGTGTTGTGTTTTTGTTTGTTTTGTTTTGTTTTTTATCCGCACCTGCCTCCTTTCTACATCTGCATGAGGGAGAAAGTGTGTTGGAAGTGGTGTACTTCCTTTTAGGCCGAATTTTTTCTTCTTGTCTGTCCTCAGGAATGGGTGGTTTCCTGTTGGAAAATGGGGCATTTTTCTGGTTCTTAGAGCCTTCCCGGTGATGCTCAGCGTTGGCTGGAGAATTTTACAGAATGATTTCCAGGTAGTTTGCGATCGTGAAGGGTTGAGGTAGCTCTTGTTCAAGAACTGCTACCTCGCAGGGGAAAGTTCCTGTTCTGCTCTGTTCTGAAAGCTGAGATTCAGGCAGAGAAACTCTTGTGTAAATCTTTCTTCAAAGAATCAGAAACATAGGTAAGAAGTTGACTTACTGTGTTTTATCAAGTAGAAAATGAGAAGGTTGTGTGCTTTCCCCTTTGCCTCCCCCAAACGAATATATATATATATGTTGCAGCAGAGCTGAAAGACTCCTTTGTGAGGACTTCTGAAGCCCTGCAGGACTGAGGTTCTTTCCTCCTCCTGTGGTGCTGTTCGAGTTCAGCTGGAGCAGAAAGGCTGAAAATTCGCGGTGACACTGTCCAAGCTATCAGCGTTAACGAACGTTGCTACTTTGCCTACGTGAAACCCAGGCCTTAAGAATGTGTTGCTTACAGTGGTTTTTGTTCAGCTGTGTGCGGTTTTTCAAGCCATTAAAAAGGGTTGGATTGTCTTCAGGAATTAGTCATCTAGAAATTTTTATTTTGTATTGCTCCAATGGTCATATTTGAGCTACATGAGCAGCAAAACATCCGCGTATTTTAAGTCAGGGAAATTATTTCACTTTTAGATAGCTCAAAAATGGCTGGAATTACTTGATTAGCCTTTCAAGGAGTAAATTTAAAAACCTCTGGGCTGAGGCCAAGGAAGGGAAATTTTTACCAAAAGGAGAATTCTTCAGAAAGCAAATGAAAGAAAATAGCAAGACCAAAGTTTAACCCTCACAGGATATTTCACTTTTGATATAATAATTGGTGGAAGTTTTCTGTTTTCAGATAAGCTTTTCTGGGCTGAATGATGATTTTACTCAAGTTGTTTTCTTTATTATTTCTTTAAATTATTTAGTTACTCTGTTGCCTCCCTGTGAACAGATCAGCTCTGTCACGTTTCAGGGGTGGGTCCACTCAGGATCAGATTTAGCATCATTAGAATAGTGTTAAATGTGCTAGAGGTTTAGCTGGCTTCTGCAGTCAAAGTTTCTATTTTAACCAGTTGTTTGATGATCTAAAAACTTCTCCAAGCTTTTTAAGTTTTGGGTTAGTATTTTCCAAAAACAGTGTTTGCCTAATTTCCAAACTATGAAGAGAACTAGTTCAAACTGTTTGAATATGGAAAAATACATTTTTCCTAGTGTATATTTTTGGAGTCTGAGTTACAGCAGTTCTAGCACTAAAATGATTTTG